ACACCCTTTCAAAGTTGGAGATATTTTAATTATTTTTCCCTAAAAATTTGATAGCGTTTACTCAATTTTTTTAGGCTCACGTCTTTTTCTTTAGTAAAACTCAAAGCCCACCGAGTGTCAAACGTGCTAATAACAAAATCTTGTGTGGATTAAAAGCGGCTATAATAATTGAATAAAAGCGTAACGAGCTAGAACTTATAAATAAACATACGTTGGTTCAATATACTTACTGATATGCACACATAGGCTACATAACATCACAACCATATCATTCTGCTCCCCTAACAGTGACTCTTCAAAGCTCTGTCCAGTGCATCAAACACAGTCTGTACATTCACTTCTTCCACAATAACTACCTTATCCCTACACTTTGACCCAGAACGTATGCAAACTTGCCTTCGTTTTACGCCAAGAACCTGTCCAAAAGAGACTTGAGATTTTCCCAAGAAATCAATATTTCTTTTGCTATATTATAAAATCAAGATATGTCAGCCCATGTTCAAAGCTACAAATAGGTTACTCAATTACACGAGAGCATTGTGTAATAATAAAATATTATTATTCATGTTGCAAATCCATTCCTGATATCCAACTGCTACAGATTCTGTATCGCCACCATTCTTTGTGCAGAGTGAGCAAGTAATATCTTGAAAACTTGTCAATGACAAGAATAAGAAAATGCTTTCCCATCCAAAAATAATAGACGTTTTAGATAAATGCACATTAACAACAACATTACCCCAGTGCCACAAATGCTCCGAGGCTCCCATCTACGGTAGGATAAGGGGGCGAATGTAATGATTCCTATACTAAATTTTAATCTTAGACACACACAAAAGCATAGACAAATAATTATGATCCCTTTTGACCTGTAATTAATCTTTAAAACTGTGAGTATGTGCTTTTTATCAATAGAAAAAGGCAAAAAGCACCCATTCATGGAGCTGTTACTAATGTCTGTGTGTGAAGGCATGCAAATTGTAATAATAATAAAAGTTATGACATTGACTCCAATTATATACATACTACAGATACTAGATGACTCACGCGAATCCATATGAACAACGTAATGGATTTATCCATGTCACGTTATGAGTGAAAGGGTTCATCAACTTATCACATGGTGTTTCAAACTACATGCCACGTTCTGAAATAAATGTCTTACTTTACTCTTTGGATTATCCAAAAATTAATGTTTGTTTCCATTTTTTAGAAGACATGTGATTCATATCATTTGACTTTATTCTACTCAAATATCAAACACAATTTTACTTTTCAACCACTTAATTATTAATTGTCGGAAAAAAGTAGGTTCAAAAAATGGGATGGAGCTGGTAGTAGTATACAACTGTTTGATTTTATTCTTCTTTTGAAAGTTCAGTGCCTATTTGGTGCCTCTTTTGACTTACCAATGAGATCAGTCAATTTTTCTGTTATACATAATTTTTTTACAATGGCCGAATCAGTTCATAATTAGAAAAAGTGATAGATGGGTATATATCTTAAATCCCAATTTGTTTTTTTGGCTGAAATGGATATAAATATATTTTTTGTCTTCATTCTAAAAATTTGTTAAAATGGACTCCCTCAATCCCAATTTAAAGTTCCTGGCCACCATTCAGGTGTTCAACTTATCTCTCATTAAATCTTTGATTCCTGTACTAATTTTTAATCATATCTGAGCTCAGTTTTAAGAGTTTGATAGAGCTTTTAATGTAGTTTACAAATAAGTTATTTTTTATTACGAGGACTAAATTAAATTTCATAAGAATTAACTTTATAATAGTCAATCATCAAAAACCGAACTAAGAGCTTTCATACCAGACAAACACAATTCCTCTTTGAGACATTTTAACAAAACTTTACATAATTAAAGCAATACAGTCATTTAAGCTGGCACAACCCCAATAAATTGGTGTTAGACAGATTTACATTGCTTAGCCAGCAACAATGGCGTGTAGGCGTGTGTAGATATCCTCTCAGGAGGACCCGCAAGCAAGCAAAGATCATAATGAAGTAAATTACTAAATTCTAATGGTATGGCTTTCAAAAGTTTTTTTTTTAATTTGAGAAATCACATTCCGGATGTTGTGCTGTTGGCAAGCAAGGCTATACATTGCTTGTAAGTTGTAACTTTTCAATCAGATTCTGGAGTAAACTTTAACTAATCTATATATTATCCAAACGAATTTCTATTTAATAAAATGACTTTTGGGTAAATATATCCAAATACATGTCTAGTTGGTATTAAGTTACTTTTACCAAGCTAACTTTATTAAATGGACTTTCAAACGAACTTTAAGCAAGCTGAAATTTACACATTATTTCCTTTACTTTGTTCAACCAGCTCCAAGGAGAAGTTAACATTAAATGCATGAATTTGCAAAGAATAAACAAATAGTTTTGTAGAAAGGAACTGAATCAGAACACAACAAAACGCCCTGAAAACCCTATAGTTTGAAGAAGGATGAAACATTCTGTTTGTTTTATTGTATTGGCCCAACTTCTCTAAAACTTGTGCTTAAATTGATTTTTTTTAAACTGCAAGTATAAGAAGAAAGGAAAAATTAATTGTGACTTTGCAGATCACACGAGAAATGCACGAACATGGTGTGTCAAGTTACAAGAAGATGCCAGGCCTTCATTGATGTTTACTCATCTCTGGATTTCAGATCACTGGTGACTAGTGTTGGAAGAAGTAGTTTTCACAAAAAAAAAACAAAGTGTGGCAACGGAATATTCAAGTATGGTATTCACAGATTGTCATTCACCAATGGTCTTGAGAAGCTTCATCTAACATTGGTTTCATCTCTGGGGCTAGAATGAAATGAGACTAAGAGCAGTGGCAACGATAGGAGATAAGTAGGGAAAATTGGGATGGAGGGATTTCCAGATCTTTTTATGTTTTCTGGCCACTTCCATAGCATACCCATAAAACATTAGCCCTCTTCAGGCACAAGCTTAACAAAAGTTATCATCAAATAAGAAGTTAACCACCTAACTTTACATTTTAACAAGTTTTGATACTCTTGTTAAATAGAAGTGCAAAAATCATCTTGTCCAATGGTTCAACTTTAATTCAATGACATCAACTGATAGTTATGCCAACATATTTTATTGTTTACAGCTTTATATTTTAACACTTCAAATGCAGATGGATACATTTAGTTACATCAAACAACCATTACAACTCAATACTATAACCTAAATTATAGGGGTAATTTGAGTTTGCACCCCATATTATAGTCTAAATTGGACTTTGCACCCCGTTTTTAAAAATCTTTGTTTTTGCACCCCCAAACCCCATATGAAAAGACAAAAATATCCTCAATCAAGAATATATTGAAGGTCAACAGAGTTGTTAATGGAGGGACATTTTTGTCTTTTCAAATGTGGTTGGGGTGCAAAAACAAAGAATTTTAAAAACGGGGTGCAAAGTCCAATTTAGACTATAATTTGGGGTGCAAACTCAAATTACCCCTAAATACTACGTATATTTTAGGCAAGTCAATCATCTCTCAGGTTAAATAAAAAAATAAAAAATAGATAAAAACAAAATTTGGAATACCAATCACCAATTAGGTAACCAAAACACTATTAAAGGATGTAAATTGGGCTTTACCAAAAAAAAGGATGTAAATTGGGCCAGCAGGCTAAATCATTGAAAAACAAATGAAAATGGGATTTGCTAGAAATTTTTTGGAAAGAAAACTTGGAGAAAAGGTGACAAGTCCTGCATCCCCAACAAATCAACTACGTAATTTAAATTTTGCTTGCAGCAAAAATTAGAAAAATATACAGAGTAATAAAATATGATTTAATGGAAATTTATCACCAAACTATTGAGTTGAAAATATAAATTTATCTCCGTCCCATCTTAAGCTTCTCATTGAAAAATGGCACAGTTAATAATATGTTTAACTCTTATAGTAGTATAATAACTTATACTTTGTATATACGGAGTATTACTTAAGGTTATTCAAATATATTTTGAGAAGTAGTTTTGATGAATATATAATATAATGAAGTAATTGATGATATGGGTGATGTAACATGTTTAATATTTGATGATTAAATTGTCATTTAAGAGTGCTAATTATTTTCTAAAATAGAAATAGGAATATTTAGCTAGACATTCAAAAGAGACAATTGAGAAGCTTAAGCAACGGAGCGAGTACTTCGTATATGAATACCACAATGGAGCAGAAAATCCATAACTTTACGAAACCCATTTTCCTTAATCAAAGTCTTCAAAGTATAAAAATTCCATAGCTAAATTACAAAATCAGAACATATGTGCAAAAACACAAGCAATAGTGTTCCTCTATTATCAATCTCCCACCAAAAGAAGCAAATAATCCGAAAAACTTTTTTGTTTTAAGACGCAGCTATAAGCACTCACATTTATTCTTGTCTATAACCATAAAGACATACTGCGTACATTTTATTGATTTCAATGGAGAATTAGGACTTACTGAGCTAATGTAGTCAATAAGAGCAGCATTTGCTTCGCCATCTTTAGCAGGCGCATCAATCTGGATTCCAACAGCGTCGTCGCTCAAATCTGAATAGAAACAGGAAAATTAATAAGTATTGTTTTCGTAAACAATTCTTAACTCATCCAATAAAAAAGGCAGGGTGGAAAGGGGACCGGTAATGGTGGCAATTTTGGAGCCGGGCTTGGCGTGGATGGTTATTGATACGGAAGACGGGGCAACGACACGGATACAAGCCGGGTATTTGGAAGCGGAAGGAGGCATACACTGAGTTGACTCGGTGGCTGAGTTACCTTTGGTTTTGCCTTTCTTTGATGGGGCCATGCTTTTTATGGGCCTTCGCTGGATTATCTGTGTGAGTTTTGCGGCTGAAACCACCGGCGTAGAGAAATTTAGTCGCGATTAGGGAGTAACTGAAGGCTGCAACCAGGGAACCACCTTCGCTCAAATTCAATCATCCAAGAGTATTAGGGGTGGGAGAAACACATAAAAAAACTTTTTCTTTGGTTTCAAAACATGAGGACTAAAGAAGGTTAGTGCACAATTACAATCTTTTTAATATACTTCCATCGTCCCAAATAAACCGCAAATTATATTGTGCAACAGGAGCACCAGGATGGTGCGCCCGGTTGCAAAATGACGGAGTATTGTGTCTGGTTTCTTTATTTTTTATTACTTTTGTTGTTAAAAAATGGTAGTACTTTTTTATTTTTGATCCGATTTTTATAAAATTTATATCAACATTTTTTATTTTTCATGATCTTTCAAATGAGACCAATATTGCTTATGTAATTTTAAGAAATTATCGAACTATTATATTAATGAGTATTGGATTATAAGGAAAATCGAACTAAATTTAATACAGAAAAATAATTGTATAATCCACAATTTATCTTAAAATTGTGTATATAAAAATTTATTGTATTATGTATTTATACATGTGAGTTACTTATTTTTATATGTAAAGTTGCATATTTTTATACGTAAAGTTACGTATTTCTACACGCGAGTTACATATATATACACACGAGTTGCATTTGACCTGCCTGAACGCGAGTTACATATATTTACACGTAAAGTTACACATTTTTACACGTAAAGTTACATATTTATACACGCGAGTTACATATTTATACACACGAGTTGCATTTGACCTGTCTCAACGCGAGTTACATATTTTTTACGTAAAGTTACATATTTTTACACGTAGAGTTACATATTTATACACCCGAGTTGCATTTGGCCCGACTGAACGTGGGTTACATATTTTAACACGTAAAGTTACATATTTTTACACACAAATGTTAATATGTTAAAATTACATAGGCAATATTGGTCTCATTTGAAAGATCATGAAAAATAAAAAATTTTGATATAAATTTTATAAAAATCGGATGAAAAATAAAAAAATTATTAACATTTTTAAAAAAAAGGAGAAATAAAAAATAACAAAGCCAAAATATACGAACTGCTTCTTCGCTCTCCCAGGTATACCATGCGCACCGTGGGACGGTTGCATGGTATACGAACTGCAAATAAACTATTTTTCTGACAGTCCCTTAAAGACTAAGGTATCTTTCCTTATTTGGTATAAATAAAACGGCGCAAAACATTGTCAAATAATGTCAAATATTACCAAACAATTTCATTTTCTTAAATTATGTGAAAGTCAAACGAGACCTTTTAAATTGAAAAGCATACAGTTATTACATCCCACTGGTGCTACTAAGGGTGAAACTTTGAAAATAAGAACCAATAAACTGAACAATACCAACCATTATGAATCAGTTCGGTTCCATTCCAATATTAATTAGTTGTTTATTAATAGTTCCAATCATATTTTTTTTGGTTAACAATTCGGTTTTTGTTTCGGATCAAAATTGTGGCATAGCATTCTCCATCCTCTTTGCATCATGCTACCATAAATAAATGCAATTGTCACTCTACAAACACGAAAACATAAAACAACATTCAAACTCTAACAAAATGAAATTATGGTTAATTTTAGGGAAAAATCCTCAAAAAATAGTAAAATGATTTGAAAATTCCAAAGTAGGCTTGTGGACATCTAAAATTAGTGAGTCATTTGTTCATAAATCAATTGAACTTTCAAGATAACGATGACGGTTTGTTATTGTCATTGAGCTTCATTTAAATGCTACCAGACTACTATTTGTGTTATTTGGCCTCTTTTGAAATTATTGGGTCAACATCAAAGTCTACTAGACTGCTCGTAAATACTATCTGTCTAATCAAAAGGAAAATATTAATATGGGTTCATTTAGATATAATTTACTGATTGAGTTAATTTTAATTACTACTATAATTTAAATATATAAAAGAATGGACCGGTCCTATTAATTTCTCTATTTTAAGTGCATTGTCAAATAGTGGGTGGGTCAATGTATAAGAGATATGATCGAGTACTTCTTGTTCTAAACACATTTATACCCACTTTATACTCATCATGTCTGTGAGAAGTTTTTTATTTTTGAATTCAATTCATTGGACAAATAATTTGTACAGACAATTTTGTCTGTGACCAGTATTCACAGACAAAAAAAAACACTCCTCACAAACATGGTGGATACAAAAGTGAATATAAGAGTGGACAATAATCCTAAATCCTAAGTATCTTCTTTCAAACTAACCCGGTTTTGTTCATAAAGAGGTGGCCTGACTTAAACCCAGCCACTCCCTCGGAGACGAAAACGAATCTGCTCTGCTTGGGGTATTCATCCTCCCAAAACGAAATCAATTTCAACCTAGGGTTTCCATTCCTCTCCGTCAGCCATGGCTCGTAACGAGGAAAAAGCGCAGTCGATGCTCAATCGGTTCATCACCATGAAGGAGGAGGAAAAGAAGAAGCCGAAGGAGCGCCGTCCTTTCTTGGCATCGGAGTGTAGAGACCTCGCGGAGGCCGACAAGTGGCGACAGCAGATCCTGCGGGAGATTGGCCGGAAGGTGGCGGAGATCCAGAACGAGGGTCTCGGCGAACACCGACTTCGTGACCTGAACGATGAAATTAACAAGCTGATACGTGAGAAGAGCCATTGGGAAAGACGGATAGTCGAGCTCGGTGGCCCGAACTACACGAAGCATTCCGCTAAAATGACGGATTTAGAAGGAAACATTGTTGATGTCCCTAATCCTGGTGGGCGTGGGCCGGGGTACAGATACTTTGGCGCCGCAAAGAAGTTACCTGGAGTTCGGGAACTGTTCGAGAAGCCTCCTGAGTTGCGGAAGAGAAGGACGAGGTATAGTAACTAGTTGTTGCCTAATCCATCCGCAAGACTGTAACTGTGACTGATGCTTGATCACCTATTTTTACTATACCTACATTACTATTATTACCTCGCTGAAACGTAGTATTAACAATGGAATCAACACTACTGTAAGAAATCAACTTTTTTCCAGCAAACTCTGGAATTACTTCTGCTCTTTAGTCTAGCATCTTAAGATTGGTTTCTCACGTTAAGCACTTTAGAGCCATAGAAGGTTAATGTCGAAGTAAATATGAAATATTGTTGATTAATGAATGAGGAGAGTGTCATCTTAGGTACAAAGGCCCTGCCCTTGTGAGCTTGTCTTGTTGATTTAGATGTTGTACGCTGATGATTTTTTACCAGAGATCGATTCAGTTTGTGACTTTGTGCTTGATATACCTGTATCCGTAATGATCTAGTTAACTGTTCAAAATCACAAATAAGTATGGAATTACGACTTTATGTTTTAACTGCCCTCTTGAAAGAATTAGTATTAATTCTTAGTTAATTGCCAAACTTGGGCAGCATTCTGCTAAATGGTGGGAATATCAAAACATTGACACAACTATAAATCGTATGTGATTTGTTCGTTCAATGCACAGACAAATATGCACTCCATTAAATCATTGGATTTGATTTCTTATCTTTGGCGCGATTTACACTATTTCAAGAAACTTCACTTTGAAACTACTTTCAGCATATTGATAGTAATCACATGTGTGCATGCATCGGTTGATTATGTATTTTCTTGAACTATACACCTATTTATGTATTTTCTTGAAATATACACCTATGTATGTATTTTTTTGGAAGCATTGGTTGATTATTTTCTACTTGTTAATTTTGTAGTTTGCGCTGACATGTTTTTGGTTGACTTTATATTTGTAGGTATGACATATACAAGAGGATTGATGCAAGTTATTATGGGTATAGAGATGAAGAAGATGGTATATTGGAGAAGTTGGAGGGGCCAGCCGAGGAGAAGATGAGGGCTGCCGCACTAAAAGAGTGGATGGAAATCGAGGAGATAAAGAAAGAAGCAAAGAAGGCAGTGAAGAGTGGGGAGGTAGTAGAGGTTGGTTTGGGAGCGAAAATATTGTTTGAGGAAGAAGAGGATGTTGTGGAAGAGGAGAGGAGGGAAAGAGAGAAAGAAAAGGAAAAGGAGTTTGTGGTGCATGTTCCCTTGCCGGATGAGAAGGAGATTGAGAGAATGGTGTTGCAGAAAAAGAAGATGGAGCTCTTGAGTAGATATGCTAGTGAAGATTTGGTTGAAGAACAGATGGAAGCAAAGGCCATGCTTAACATTCACAGATGATGAGTAAATCATCATAATCATGCACTTCAGCATTCCATGACTGCTTCTCGCAGCTTGTTTTTTGAAAATCAAGGATCATCAATGGAGTTGCCCCTGGAGCTCTTTTATTTTATGATGGTTGTACTTTGAAATGGCTTATAAGATTGTGTGCTGTATTGATTACTACAGAGCGCATGACACATGTATTACTGTCATAGTGAAATGGTTTGACTAGCCAGTAGCCACATCAATCCTGGAATGGGTAAATTTGCCCAGATAGGGGTTGCTATAAAATTGTTAGAAACTGTCTACTGACCTTGAATTATATAGAACTGCAAATCTAATGCTTTATTTTTATAAATAAATTAACGGACAGTTGAAAAGATGATTTGTGATTCTACAAAAAATGGCTTACTTGGGCCAGTTTGTGTGGAGCATTAGAGATGAACACACTTCACATCCTTTTTTTCAAGTTCTTTGATTGTCCTTTTCAAAATCTCACTTTCACGAAAAGAATTAGAGATGAATCTAGATTTTTCCAGATTTAACTTGGAATTCATCTTATTTCAAAAAAAAAAAACTTGGAATTCATCTCGGCTAAAAAGTAGTGGGAAATTACCCCAACAGGAGCAAAAATCACAAAATATCAAATATAGAACTAATTGTACGATTTCTGTGCAATTCTGGTAGGGGGTGGGATTTGGATTTGCTTCATGACCTTTCTGTCACCGAGACTTCCTGATAGATTATGTTGGCGGTGGGGGTCAAATGGCGGGTGTTCTGTTCGGAGTTGTTACTGGCAATTAGTTGGGGAGTTTGTGGGTGGGGAATGAACTGGTTGGACTTCAATGTGGAATTGCCTCCCAAAATTAAAAACTTCTTTTGGCAGGTGTGTGCATTGATCTTTTGCCGACGACGGAGAATTTGAGACAGCGGAGAGTGGACTGTGAGGTGGCTTGCGGTCTCTGTAGCACGGCAGTGGAGTCTCCGTTCCATTTATTTGTTGCTTGTCCAAGGTGAAGGAAGCTTGGAGCTCTGTGGGCTGGAGTTGGACGCTTTCTTCAACGGACCAGTTTCTTGTTCAGGTGCAAGCTAAGTTCCAGGCAACGAAGAAAGAATATTTAGCCAAGATGATATGGGGATGCTGGGGCATATAGTGAAAGAGAATCAGAAAAACAACCGGGTCTGGAGGAGCTAGAGTGGAAGCGAAGCACATTTTACAGGGAGCAAAGGCGTATGTGACAGGCTGGTTGCAGACACAGCAAGATGCTGGTACTCAAGTGCACAGGAAGGGGAGGGGATCTCCGGTGTGGAGGCGGCCGGACTCCGCGAGAGTTAAGCTAAATGTTGATGCGGCTGTGAGATGTAATTGTTGTGGACTTGGCTGGGTACTTGAAAATGAAGCAGGAGAGTTTTTGGCAGGAGCTTCAAAGGTGTGGCAGGGCTGTTTATTACGGTGGGAGGCCGAATTGGTTGGTGTTAGAGAAGCTCTGAGCTGGGTCAAGGCACAAGGTTGGGATTTGGACAATATTTGGTGGACGTAGAGACTGATGCTACCCGGGCTGTTTCAAAAATTCTAGATGGTTTGAGTTTTTCTTTGGCAGGTCTTTTACTTATGTTTGATGATCAACGAACAAGGTGGCTCACGGTTTGGCTCAAGCCGCGTGTTCTATGTCTAATTGTCAGTGGCTCACGGTTTGGCTCAAGCCGCGTGTTCTATGTCTAATTGTCAGTTCTGGTTTCATGTTCCTCCCGATTTTATTATCCATGTACTGAATGATGACTCTATCAATGTTAATTAAGTTTTCCCTTTGCAAAAAAAGAACTAATTATACGAAGTATATTTTAAACTCAAAATTCGAGTTATAATTGTATTTTACTTGCCTCATATGTAGGCATGGCCTCGGGCCGGGTCAGGTCCGGGCCTACTCATATGGGTCTTATTTGGGTCAAAATCTCAAAAAAGCACTTTGATGAAGAGGACTTGCATTTTCAGAGAACAGCTTTGTCAAATTCAATTTTGGACAACTTCTAAATAAGAGAATTTCGAAGATTGAGTTCTATTTTTAAATAAAATTATTAGTAAAGATTCATCACAATTTTTTGAACATAGATCTCGATTGACCTTTTTTATTGTTATATTTAAAGAACATACCCCGAGATTGGTTAGGTTTACAGGTTTACTCAAGTAATCAAACAAAACGAAGTCTAAATGTGATAGACTTTACAAATGGCTATAAACCTATAATCCGTTTATTTTGTTTCCTCTTCTGATCTCTCCAAAACAAATGTGTTGCCTTTGTCATCTCTCCCAATTCTGAGACTATCATCCAAATATCTAACATCTTCTAATCAAGGAACAACTTCTTCTCTCTAACATCCGGATTGTGAAACACAAACTCCTACACAAAAAAGGATACGTGATCTCGAGCCAGCCATCTGGATTGAAAATTCCCAATAGGAGATCGAAGTTTTTCCGAAAAACATTCATCAACTGCACAATGTTGCAAGAAAACAGGAAAGATCAGTCACTTCTCAGAAGAAACGTGTTTTGGATAATGATCTTATTAAGATAATGATCTTATTAATTCTATTTATCTATGCATACCTTATCAGGAGTTATCGTCGAGCTAGTGTAGCTTATAATAACTCTCTGTTGTTCAAATGAATGAATCAAAGAATTTGTTATCAGGAAAGAACATACTACGTATGAAATACTTCATACATATTAGTGAAAGAAAAGACCAAAGCCTTAACTGAATTGGAGACAATGTTGAAGGATGCTTCAATTCTTAGCTGCCCGGTCAAGAAATTGAGTCCTCTCGCACTGAACTTGATCACATTAACAGCTTTCGCCTACATTCATCCCGCCATCATGAAACTAATCCAATAGCTATAGTAAGTATGGTTAACTCAAAAACACATTTCACCGTATGTTTCTACAAGAGTGTTTATTCACCGTATGTTTCTACACGGGTGTTAATTAGAGCTTAGAGTGGTCATCAAAAACCCTACATCCAAAACACTAAGAAAAGTTTAAAAATGAGTGTAGAGAACAAATATGCCAAATTTCAATAACTGATTGCATATAGGCTATAATCATATGATACTCTTCTTTAAAAGTTAACTTAATATATGGGGTTTGTATTTTTATGTTTGACTGATTAAAACCGTGGGCTTGTTATTGAATCTTACCAAGATTGAATTTTTTGGTATAGCTTAATTGGTTCTGATAACATATTTAGTTTAAGTGTTCAATCTTAATGTCAACTTGAAAGGAGATGAGGAATAATCTCAAACTTTGGGTGAGTTTCTGATTTTATACTTGCCCAATATGGAATAACTTAGACAACTCTTGTCTTACTTATTTGAGTAAAATAAGCGGTACCAAAAGCAAATTCAACCATTACAACAAAATTACACTTACCAATTGGGCATTAACTTCTTCAGTCAATATGCAAATTGGAGGAAGCTAAAAATATTGACTCTCTAAGGATGTTCTAACATGTAAATACCTCAGAATCATCAATTATCTGGAAGAAATCTCCCAGAGTGATTAAATCTCTCAATCCCAGCTTTGTTCTTTTTGCTCCAAGGACAGTGATGGTACTATAAACAAGCTTCCAGCTTCCTACCACCTGACGAATTTCATGAAAGTTACAATTGTAATAAGAAAAACTCGATGTTGTTTTGGGACAGAGTAGAGCATGTCTGGTGATCGAGTAGAGCAATCCCAACTCAAAATTAGATTTCTATCATCCCTGCATTGTCTACATTTTTTAATTCTACTGTCGATCTTATACTATACTACATTTTTGGAGTGTCATTGCCACATTGAAAAATGAAGTAAGCATGACCTTGCTGGATATAAACGTTCATCTAACTCTATTGAAAAAGAGATATTTGGGATGTGTGAAAACGAAACTGTACAGGTTTGGCCAAAGGCAGAAGACAATATAAACTTAGTAGTGCAAACCGCCACTCTAAACAAAAATTCCCTAAATAAGAGTAAAAAATAGCACATTTTGGGGGTGTTTAGAAAATGGCATTTCAGCAAAAAATGGCAGTTTGACTACTTTTAGCGTTTTTAATAAATGAAAACGTTGTTTGGTAAATAACTGTTTGGCCCTAGCATTTTTGGACGGAACCGCTGAAATGAAAACGCTGGAAATAGGAGAGTTTTGGATTAGCGTTTCGAAATATGGCCTTTTCAACTCATTTATATGGCCACCCAAATAAAATACCAAATATATTCTGGCAACCAACCAATTTATCCCGTAACTGAATCCGTTATTGACAACCTGCTATCCCCTAATCGCTAGCTAAATACCAAACAGGCAAACACGCTCTTTATCTCAAATAGGACTCGTAGCTTTCACTCCTAAACAGTATTCATTGACTCTTAAAAGGAAGTTTTTGTTGTATTTATTCTTTTATTATGACTAAATAAGTTCTATTTTGGGAATCAAACATAATTAGTCTCACTTTTTGAACTTTGAGTCTCTCTCTGACCATGTTTTACTCCTATTTCATGTTTCTACTAGAGCAAGACCTTGTGTAGACACAGAGTTGGTTCAGGGGTTGGGTTATGTGATTCCAGCAGCTTCACCAGTTGTTCAATTTTACTCTTCTTTTCACTTTTTATTCCAAATATGCCCCTATCAATCCCTACAAAAGTTGCATCTCACATCAAATTCGGACAATAAACGGAAAGGAGTCAAATGTCTGAAACATATAAACTGTACCTTGAAATGCATCAAAAAGGTCAACTTTGATCTGGGAAACTTTCTCTAACTCCTCCGCTGTCATCCCAACACTCTGCTGTGAGGATTTGATTAAAAACTTGGAAGTCTTTTGCCCAAAATTTGAGTTCTTCGTGGTTTTGCAAGAAATGGATGAGAGTGGGGAGTGAGTTTTCATCGTTTCCGCAGTGGTTGGTAATGGAGGGTGGAGATGCGAGGAGGGAATAATAGTGGGTTTCAGGAGGCTTGAGGCCATTATACTGCTTCGATTTACTGAACAAGAGAAAGCCAAGGCAGGTGCAGATATGAGAAAACTGGTCAGCTGTACAAAAAAAATAATGTAAACTTAGAGAAAGTGATCAGGTCCAGCCGGCGCCGTCCGAACTCCGCCGTTTGGGGCGGTTCTCGGTGGAATTTTTTGATGAAATTTTTTGAGCATGTTCTTCATCAAGTCTAGTTTGTCCATATCAAATTTCAGCTCAAAATTCGACCGGGAAGGCATTCAAATCATTTTTTGAAGTTGACTGCGCCAAAATATACATATAAAAATGCAGTCAACTTCAAAAAATGATTTGAAATCCTTCCCGGTCGAATTTTGAGCTGAAATTTGGTATGGACAAACTAGACTTGATGAAGAACATGCTCAAAAAATTTCATCAAAAAATTCCACCGGGAACCGCCCCAAACGGCGGAGTTCGGACAGCGGCTGGACCGGGGAGGGCTGGACCTGATCTTTTTTGTGTAAACTTATTTCATTTTATTTATTAAAGTATTACTCATATAATTTAATATTTTGAATAAAATTATTAAATTTCTCTCATTTTAAATTTTCAAGATATGAAAATTTTAATCTATTTACTGATCAGAATTAATATATATATTAATGATTAAACTTGGACATTACCAAAGGTGAACGGTGAATCAGTGCAATTAAAGAGAATGTAAGAGAATACAGGAAACATGATTGATTAGGGGAAGTAGTGAAGTTTTAACGCAACTAAAAAAGATAAATAGTACGGAGTAGAGTTATAAAGGACAGGGGTGTCTTCATTTTTCCTTATCAAAATTAATCATATTGAATTTAAAAATAATCAAATAAAGATTGCTATTAATAGGAAACATCGCCTAAGAACATACAGTAAAAAAAAATAGTACGTATCACTAATAAAAGGATTTATTTACAACGTGATTTTTACTTTTTACTTGAATATTATTAATTTTGAACCAATTACAAAAAAAAAAAGTGACCACTTTAAAAAAGGGGCAAAAAAATGATCAAGAAGGCCGTATATGTGAAATTATGAAACATGATGTCACCGCAAAAAATTTATGTCACTGTATTCTTCTTTTCTAACTAAGAGTCGTCGCCATCGATTTTTTTCACGCCAATTACACCGCCACCGTCATCACCACAGTGACACCATCACAGTGACGTCGCCACAGTCACGCCACCATAGTGACATATCCATTCTCGATGTCACTGTGATCAGCAGAAAAGTAAATTTTAATCAAATCTGGTCGCCACCCTGACAGCACCGCCACTCCATAGCTGCCGACCAAACTTGCCCTTCAGTCACCACACTCTACCAAACGTGGACGGTGAATCATTGCAATTAAAGAGAATGTAAGAGAATACAGGAAACATGATTGATTAGGGGAAGTGGTGAAGTTTTAACGCAACTAAAAAAAGATAAATAGTACGGAGTAGAGTTATAAATGATAGGGGTGTCTTCATTTTTCCTTATCAAAATTAATCATATTGAATTTAAAAATAATCAAATAAAGATTGCTATTAATAGGAAACATCGCCTAAGAACATACAGTAAAAAAATAGTACGTATCATTAATAAAAGGATTTATTTACAACGATGTTTTTACTTGAATATTACTAATTTTGAACGAAAAGGACAAAAAAGTGATCAAGAAGATCATATATGTGAAATTATAAAACATGATGTCACCGCAAAAATTTTATGTCACTGTGTTCTTTTTTTTTTTTTGTAATTAAGAGTCGTCACCGTCGATTTTTTTCACACCAATTACACCACCGTCATCGCCACAGTCACGCCGCCATAGTGACATATCCATTCTCGATGTCACTATGATCAGCAGAGAAGTAAATTTTAATCAAATCCGGTCGCCACCCTCACCACACAGCCACTCCATAGCTGCCGACCAAACTTGCCCTTCAGTCACCACACTCTACCATTCGTCCCCATCCACACCATCATCACTATCCCACAACATACACAGTCACTGTACCGCCGCCGTCTCAACTCCGGTCGCCGCCACACATTCCGGCCGCTGTCAACAACCATAGCCCCCCAATCCCTCCCCAGCTTCATCCCCATCCCAGCCTCCTGACTACCCCCAGCCACCCTCTTCCCCTCCCCAGCTCAGGCTCCAACTCCGACCAACCCAACCCCCGATCCCACCCTTCCCCAACCGCAATCTATTCCAGATCTGCACAGCCTCGACCCCAATCCACCATTTCACCCCTCCTGTCACAAACCTTAGCCTTCATCCGTCTGTTAAACTAAGTCGTCGTCTCCATCCCCGATGTTCGAAGCGTAGCCACCGTCGCCATTGCCGAGCTCTACCCGTCGCCGTCGCCGAACCTCACCATAGATCTGGAAACAAGGACAGCGATGAAAGTCTCTCTCAACCTTGGCCGTCCATCTTGTCACGGCTTCATCTATCGGAAGAGATTTAAGATGAAGAAGAAAAATCACAGCATATTGCAGATGAACACGGCGATGAGGTATGCTGGCGGACGCGGAGACGTCGATGTTGACGGAAGTGACGACTTCGGATGCCGGTGAATGAGCCGACGCCGGATGCTGGCGTAGGTGGTGGTGTGATGGCCGGCTGCGTGAAGTGTTCGGCGGGAGGCGCAGTGAAGATGGATGGGTGAAGAAGGAAGATGAAGGGACGGTGTCGTCTGGAAGATGCAGGAAATGGGTTGTGTCCATTTATTAATGTACTCACTTTTTTGTCAAATCTAAAACTAGTCTTATTTTGATAACTAGTATGTGTACCCGTGCACTGCACGGGAAAATATGTGCTTAAAGTTTTTATTAAATTGTAGGGAAAATAAATTGTATATGAATTCGTCAATTAGTTTTTAAAAGAAAAATTTAATCGAGTATGGATAGAGCTGTCAAAATGAGTCGAAGTCCATAGGGTTAGCCCATTTCATCTCATTTCACGGTGGGTTAGAGTTGTCATTCATCAATCCAATGAACTCACCAGTTTCATGGTGCAACTTGCACGGGTTGCAGGTTAAGTGAGTTGACCCATTCAGGTTGCGAGTAAACCAAAATATAAACATCTATTTTTTATTTTCATTATCTTCAATATTGATGTTATTCTACCAAAATGATTTTCAAATATACTTATTAATTTACAACCCTTGTTGAACTATTATTTCTATATATACTAATTATTCAAATAATTTACTCGAGCATTATTTCTATACATGTACCGGAACATTAGATTTGAAAATTGTAAATTATATATATAAGGTTGAGTTCAAATGAGAAGACACCTTAACGTGTAAAAAAGGAATTAGAATGAACTCGAATGTTAGATTTATAAATCGTGCCATTCGTGCATGATTTGAAATAGAAATATGTGCTATCATATAAAAAAAATGTCGTGACATTTTTGTAAAAATTCAACCTTTCTTGTCCATTTAAAGTCTGCATTATTTTAACTATAAGTGTATTGTGCACCCCCATTAAAAATAATGTGCGTCGTTTGAGACCATTAGGCAATTAGACGATCCAAGCGATGAAATTAGGGAGTGCTAACCCATTTAACAACATGAACATAAATTGTGAAGTATAAATAAATATGTGACAAAAAATGAATTTACCTTGACATTGATTTAGTAGACTTTGTGAATTAATAAATAGATAAGTAATATCACATTTGTCTCATTAAGATCGAGACATGTGCAGCTATTAAAAAAACGTTTATCTAGCTAATGTTGAAATGAAAAGGAGAGACAATAGTGTAAGAATGATTTAGAACTACATATGCATTATAATATTTGGAGCTACACAAACTTAGTGAATGAAAGAAACACAAAATATCAGAGAAAATGAATGAGACGGAGGATGTATTAATTATCATATTTTGGAAACAAATAAGAACCAATTTATAAAAATTCCGAATGAGGGAGAACCTGCAAGAGTTTATGAGAAAAGAAATAGAAGTAATATTTTTATTTTAAGAGTGGCTAAAAATTGTTAATTATTATTTATTTTTGAGTATTTGAATTTTGTAATACCGGCGAGTGAAATTTTTTACCTGATTTTATATTGAAAAATATAACAAATGTATACACATATATTAATATAAATACATATCTATAATATTGGAATATTTAAAAGTAGAGTTTTGAAAGTTGAATAGCTTTTTTTTAATTTATTGTTTTGCCACGTGTCACTTTTTTATACAAAGGATGTTGCCACATGTCAACAATTCCTCTAAAAGGTTCTTTAAGGGTTTGCTATATTATATTATATAGATATAGATTCGAAAGTCCCCTGCTAATATCTTGGTCATTCTTTCAATAATTAATCAAGTCTAATTACCTCAAAGTAACTTACAAATTAACTTTTCATATTATTCCTTTTCTTCTTTATAATATTATTCTTTTGGAGTTTTGTCATTAATATTACTAAAATTTGGATAATGGAAAAATAGATCATTTCTTAATGTTCAAAAATGTGACTAATAAGTTTTAAACTTACTAAATTTCCTGTAGTGACAGAACATAAATACGGAGTATATACTATCGTATAAAAAATTATCTTGACAAGAAGGGCTCGTGTGATGTCGGATGCAATGGGGAGAGAAACCAAGAAAGAAGGAAGAAGAGAAGCTGGAAAAAATTGAAGACAAAATTAAATGAAGAAGAATGATGAAAAAGAAAAAAACAAAGTAAATTAAAATTGATGAGGTTCCATGAAAGGAGGTGGTGCATGAGAATATGAGATTGTAGAAGAAAAAGAAAATAAAAAGGGAGAAAAAGTGAAAAACAAGAAACAGCCAGAACAAAAAGATTGTAGAGAAAAGGTGAAAAAATAAAACACATTGCTTTAACTTCAATAGACATAAAATTACCTTTAGCGGAAGTGCCTAGCTTGGTCTGTCCGATTTGGCGGCGCCTTGCTCTTGTTGGCGTCTGTCCGATTCGGCGGCAGATAGATCGGGGAGTTGTGGATCGAGGTTTTAGTCCTCAAGGAAGCGACCGGTCGATTTTCGTCCCAAGATTTGAACATGGTTCATCTGGCGATTGTCCTCTGGTTTTCCAAGTTTCGATTGGTCGGGCGTAGCTTGTCAAATCCGGCGAAAATTGATCGTTAGTCTAGAACAACAACAACAACTTTGACAGGATCTTGACATTAAAGACGACTAAGGTTGAGTAAACAATTTTTCTTCAATGAGGACCGCAAGTAGACAGATGATGTTTGGCTTTGGGCGGCGTGCTTTTGGTGTCCAAAGTGAAGGCATAACAGTCGGTTTCCTTTTTTTTTAAACGCCAATAGACATGATTGAATGTTTTAGTGCACACTTATAGAAGGGTTTAGGCAATGACTTTGCAATGTAAGGGTTTGTTTGGCCTCTTTCAATAGGAACTTTTTGTATTCTTCTATACTCAATCACTACTAGTTAGGTAAGTATTATTATAGGGATAAGGATTAAATTTGACACTATGATTACATGAGAATCTCATATTGGACACTAAGATTTCAAATGGACCGAATTGGACACTATGTTTACATGTGTATCTCATATTGGACACTTAAGTTTCATAATTCATAGTTTTTGGATATGCACTTACGATTTTCTTCTTCCTTTAATAACAATCGTTAGTCTTATTTTTATGTATATAATTTGAAGTTTTAGAATATATAATTTGATTTTAATTAATAACTTCTTATACTTAACAATTTAAAAATATATTTAGGACCTTTCATTCATATATTTTTTATGAAACTTTAAAAATATCGATTTATTAAATTGATTTAACAATATTAAAAATATATACTTACATTATAATCGATTTTCTTAATTGGAACATCTAATAATTTACTCTAAATCTAAATACACAAATTAAGTTATTTTTATTTTTTAGGTACATAAAACAAAGGGAAAATGAATAATTATTGCTTTCAAATGTAGCTTTCAATATAAGATGTACATGTAACGATAATGTTTAATTATCATATAATCATATTCCAATTTGACCCTTATCCCATTATTATATGAGAGTTATCTTTTACATTGCTTATGGAGGTCATTTTACAAAACAATACCATAAACATAGGGAAAATCACCTCAGAAATGTTCTCTTATAAGCAAATGTTACTTCCTCACTTGATAGATTAAGCGAATACCATATTTGAACTGAACCCGTTTTTTCAATTCTTGCAAAAAAACCTTTCATACAACTTATACAAGCATTGAGATAATATATTAATAGTGGCCTAGAGATTTCCATTTACAAGAAAACACTCACAGGTTTCGTGCAATTTTGTTGTTGCGTACTCATTATTTCATCTTCCAAAATCCAAACAGAGTTGATATGAAATGCACACAGTGACACAGCCAAACAAGTCCGAGTTTGCAGATATTGATCAATTATAGTGGAAATGGAAAAGATAATTTACACGAGACATGCACAGGCCCTGAGGGAGAGCAGTCTGACTAATCGCGGTTAGCAGATGCTACTGTTAATATCACTAATATATATTCACAAAATTTCCCATAAAAGCCTTCGGCTATAAAAATGACATCTAAACCCCATAATAATACAAAAAGAGCAATAATACATGGGTTGAGCTATTGGGACAAACAAATGGGGGGTTCCCGCATATGAAGGCAGGGAACTAGGGGTTAGAAGGGCTTTATGGAAAAAAAAGGCAAGAATTGAGATCATTGAAAAAAAAACATGACCCTGTACACACAACTCTATGTGGGCCCTACCTGCCTGAGGATCTAAAACATAGTAATATACAAAAAAAACTTTAGCCCGCCACCATCCCCTGATCAGGCAAACCCTGGAATTACCACTGAATGCACCCGATGGACAATGACTTCTGCACAGAACAATAAACAATACTCAGCAAACTAGCAATACAGCTAAGATGTGCAGGTAGCCTAGCCAAGCAAAAACATATTTAAATAATACTTACTTCGACCCTGATTTCCTGAAAATAGAATCAAGTTTGACCAATGTACAACTTTTAAAATTTACTAAGGTACAAATCTGTTCTAGGTATCTTTCTAATTTTTTATTGGTTGTACTAGATTTAAAACACTTAACTATTTCCGAGTTTTTTAACATTAAATACTCCATCCCAAAATATTTGAAATGTCCAAGAGAAAAGTGTACGCTTATAAAACTGCCTTATAAAATGAACTTTCTGCTCTTAAGTTAACTAAACATTAAAAGTACTTCAGTACTTATTGTATGAAGAGTCATTAAGTGATATGGTAAATTAAAAGATAAGAAAACTATGCACTGAAAGTTAAAATCACAATTACTTTAAGGTCGAAAAAAATCTGATTGAATCGGAGGACGTATAATGAAAATTAGTTTCTTTTGTTCAAATATGACCTATTTTGGGAGGGGGGGAATATGTTTTCAGTCGGAGTACTTTTTGGGAGCTGATAATAGAATTTCATTGAATGAAGCATATACCAGAGAACAGATGATCACCTGTACACATTGATTTCGGAGCATGCTGATCCAAAAAGGAAAAGCCAGCCACACAAAGGACCCTCTTGTCTGTTCAGAATACAACTCAGTCTGGGCCGGAGTTATTGTGCGGATCACACAAATTGCTATTCCCTCGTAATACCTGCTGATGCTGATGCTGTAGTGGTTCGCGCAAGGCTGTATGTGACTGCTGCTGCAATTGCACATTAACATTCTTTCCCTCAGGGGACAAGTTGCCTGATGATCTCCTCCGGCTTATTCCCAGTGGGCCATCTTGAGAATCAATCTTATCATCTGCCGGATTATTACTAGGTTCGGCCTGGGCCCCAGCAGAAACATCATCTGGCACCATGTCAGCTGCACCACTGCAATCCATAGATGCTGACATCATCAGGCCCGCTGAAGAACTGCAGGCAGCGGTATGCTTCTCGACTCTCTGGGAATTAGGTTGACTTTGACTCATCAGCAACCGAGGCTGTGGATGTGATTGTGGTTGATGACTGAAACAAGGCACTGCAGGTCCCACCGTAATTGGTTGACCATGGCCTTGGCTCACATCATCAGAACAAGAAGGTTTTTGCTGAACAGATTCTGTTTGTGAAGACACTTTTACAGAATATATCTTCTGCTGAGATTGGGGAGGAACCTGAGTATTAGTAATGGACGACGAAAGTTTTGTAGGTTGAACCGTGTTTGAAGCTGAGCCATTCAACAAGCTCGCTCTCCCCGCACCATTCACGGTTTTAGCTTGCTGATGTGGAGGCAACTGTTGTCGTGGCTGAGGGTGACTCCTGCTACTGTGTTGCTGCTGCAACACATGTGTCTGCCGAGGCCGTTGCTTACTTACAACCTGACTAGATGATACGCCAGCCACCCCTTGAGCACCACCCCGGGCTAGCCCATGAGTTGGCACTATCGAATGCTTTAATTGTTTTAGTTGATGATGTGGCGCTGGAGTCATCGAGGAAGAAGGCGGCATGGGAGTAACTGACGTAGTAGATAGAGAGGACGCTGGTGATGTCGTTTGGGATGGTGAAATCATAGGATTTGATGCACCAAACTGATGTTGTAAGAGTCTCTGTTGAAGCTGCCTGTCTTTTGCAAGCTGCAAAAGTGCTTGTTTCTGCGGGTTAGTTATAACATTATTATTATTAGGCCCTTGAGGATGTACTACAGGGTAGGATGAAGTAGGGGGGGATGGAATCTGATTGGAGTATGAGGTGGTATTAAGACCTCCACCAAATGAAGGATTTACTTGGTTGTTGTTACTTTGCGGGGTAGGTTGCATTACATTCAAAGCATCATGAGGTCTCAACATCGAGTTCCCTTTAGTGTTATTGGAACCGACTCCTGAGTGAATATTTACAGAGGCAATCATGTTCACAGAACTCAACATAGGTGATGTGGGGATAATTCCCTGAAAGCCAGGCCTCACAACTGGCATACCATCTCTATTAGATCCAGCTGAAAGCATACGGACACCAGGGTTGGCACCTGGAAAAGCACCCGGAGAGGCAGAAGGATTGGGTCTTCCTGGTAGCACCCGATTATACGGTAGATTTCTCCGTTGTTCAGTGAATGGTGATACAGAAGCAGATGCGGAAACAGAGTATCTACCGTCCCTGACAGTAAAAAATGAAATATTGAGATAATAATTCAAGAGGTCAAAAGTGTAAAAAATCTATGGAGCACAAGTGGGCAACATTTTATGGGACAAGCCTTGACTATTTCCACATTTGGTAATGTAGACAGATTAATATGAACTTCTTTGAAGGACTCTTCAAAACTTAAAAGTGTATTCATATTATAATTTCAATCAAAAATACCTGACTGTTGCATTTGGTGAAGTTGAAGAAGAGGGGAAGCTGTTTCCAGAGACAATATTTGAAGACCCTTGCAGGAAAGAATTTGATGCAGAAGAAGCGGCTTCTGCCCCACCAAGAAAACCCGGGGGGCTGGAAACAGCTAATGTACTTGAACTTTGGTGTCCATGGGAAACCATGTCTGAGCTAGGTGGTGGACTTGAATCACAAAGATCCAGTGGCCTTTGGAAAACAGATGAAAGCAAAATAGGTATATCAAATAATTGACAAAAGAGAAAGGAAATAATTAAAATTCCAACTCAGGTGTAAAATAAAAGTACACAAAAGGCGTATTATAAACCCAAATCTTACGTTAACATTGGCACTCCATTCATGTTATTTGGGAAAACTTGGGAAAGAGCATGTGCGTGAGAGCTGTGAGGTTGTTGCAGTTGTTTTGGATCACGGTTATCGCCCTTCATAATACAGAGGCAAGTCATTCACAAGAAATTTTAAGCACGTTACACAGTACACAAAGATCATTCAAAAGGAAATTGCAAGCGAGAGACTTCAAAAATTATGATCCCGCAGATTTTGAGAAGTTAAGATCTTTCCCTTTACTACTTCAATCACATAGTGACAGCATTTACTATAAAAACGTACAACCAAAATCCTAAAGTGTACTCATCAAACTCCAATCTCTCGTTTTTGGGTATGAAATGACCTCCCCCCTAGGTCTTATCTCAGATCATTAGGCCACATAATACATAGTAACTACCTAACGACTTACAGACCAGCTGTAAATGAGATGAAAAATGAAATTTAAGAGATCCAAGCTACATTTCACCAGTAGAAGCATGGCAGCAGCATGCTATGCGGTCATATTTATTCAGCAGTGCAAAAACTCAGTATACATTTTACTGCTTAATTTTGAATCTATATGAATGGAAAAAGTTGTTAAGGGTGCACCATAGTATTTCATTCTAATGGGCGGTACATATTGAACCAGCATCTGTTCTAAGTTCTAACCCTAAAACAAAGTATTTTATTCTTCAAGTACGAATAAAACAGGAACTTCTCTTTCTAGAGCCCTACAACAAGGAATTTTCTTAAGGTTGTATCATCACGGCATAATGCCAAATATGTGATCAGATAAGATAATACTGATGTAAAGATTGTCATTTAAAGTATGGCACGCTTCAAAACACATCCGAACTACCTAATTGGACAAACAACTTACCTGAGTCTTATGATATAGATACTTTTGCCCTATCAAGATGATTTTTTCAAAATGAGATTTGAGGGTATCCTCTTCCATTGGACCCTTCAAACGCTGAAACAACTGTCTTGCACTCCCCTGCATAGTAATAAATGCTATGAATCACACAAACTAGCTTATGGATGTGTTATATAACTTCTGACAAAACAAATGGAAGAAATACCTTCGGAATACCAGGTAAAGTTGAAGGATACGGCTGAGACGGTCCTGATTCTTCAGCACTGTCAGCGGCATCACTATTAGTTTTGTCCATTAAAATTTTATGCCTCTCTCTGCATTCCTTAGGTTTGCGATATATACACTGCATACATTTAAATAGTGCTGAATTGTAGGAAGGGAGAGAAAGGAGACGGAGTGGTCTCATTTGTATGTGGGCATTGACAGACACTTCAGAGTTTCGAAAAGAACTATATTGCTAGGAATAGTACACGAACTGTAATACTTCTCTTTGTATTGAGTTTGTTAGTATCTGTTAGTGCTAATACAGTTAGTTAGATTTCTGTTAAGCTCTAGTACTATAAATACTTGTAATCGGTTCATGAATAATAAGATTGGTTCATTCTTCCTAAATCCTTCTTACTTTTCTAATATGGTATCAGAGCTCTAGCTCGATCTACCATGCCAGAATCAAACTCGATCTCGTCTTCTTCTTCACCTACTTTTCCCGCAACCTTCACTCATCCACTTCCAATCAAGTTGGATTCGAACAATTATCTCATCTGGAAACATCACATCGAATCTGTGATTCGTGCTCATAAACTGCTTAGATTCATCGAAAATCCAAAAATTCCTGATCAATTCATCGGTGAAAATGAAGCAACCAGAACTGTTAATGACGCGTACATTGTCTGGGATCAGCAGGACCAAATGTTATTTTCGTGGCTGCTTTCATCCTTGTCTGAATCTCTTCACGCTCGAGTAATTCAATGTCAGCGATCGCACGAACTCTGGAGCACAATACGCAAATTCTTCTAAGCCAATGTAGTCGCAAGAGCTAGGCAGCTCAAATCTGAACTCTACAACACCGGCAAGGGAGAACGAACAATTTCTAAATACTTGCTTCGCATTCAAAACATCGTCAACAATCTTGCCCTAGTTGGTGAACCTATATCCAGCAAAGACCACATCAACGTCATTCTCGAAGGTCTTCCAGAGGATTATGAGTCGCTGGTATCCTCTGTTACTTCTCGCAGTATTCTAGAACCAATCACCTTATCTGAACTTGAATCCTTGCTTTTAGCTAAAGAGATGCGTATGAAGAAACTTCGTGATTCAACTCAGACAACTATTTTCTCAGCCAATGTTGCTCAAGCTGAAGTCTCCTCTCAAAATTCAACTTCTGAAACTTCTACAGCTATTGAAAACTCATCTGCCAATATTGCTCAGTACAACAACCCCAACAATGGAACTTCTTATCGAGGACGAGGTCGCGGAGGTTTTAACAGGGGCAGGGGTGGTCGCTCTGGTGGGCGCACTTCAACAATCTGTCAAGTTTGTGGAAAATCAGGGCATCATGCCTTGATTTGCTACCATCGCTATAACCCTGCATATACCAACACAAACTCTAACCCTAATTTTCCCAACTCTGCTCCTGCAACTCCAAACTACTACAATCCTTACTCACAAATCTCTTATCAACCAAATCAGTTCACCAATCAGCCTAAATCCAACACATATCAACCTCATCAATCACAATTTAACTCTTCTCAACCTTGGAACTTATCTAATCCATCTGCAGGAAGTTTCAACTGGAACAATCACACACCCAATGCTGTATCATCTTACAATACACCATCTGCCAACTATGCCACTGCTAACTCCTCTATTCTTGGTCCTGCTCCATCAAACCAACAGTGGTTTCCTGATTCAGGTGCAACCCATCATGTCACAGCAGATCCAATGAACTTTCAGCATAGTGAACCATTTGCAACATCTGACAAACTCTTCATGGGTAATGGACAAGGTCTGGACATACAGTCTATAGGTTTCTCATCTTTTCCTTCTCCATATCAATCCTCACACATGCTTCTTTTACAAAACATTCTTCATGTTCCTTCTATAACTAAAAATTTGTTAAGTGTTAGTCAGTTTGCTAGGGATAATAATGTTTTCTTTGAGTTTCATCCTCATGAGTGTTATGTCAAATCCCAGGTTTCTAAACAGGTATTATTACATGGAGTTCTTGGTGAAGATGGTTTGTACCAGTTTCCATCTCTCCCTCTTGGTTCACCATCCAATGCTGGAGTTAATCAATCTACTTCAGTTGTCTCTAGCAATAAATCTTTGTACCCCCTCTCCCTTATATCTACATATAATAAGTCTCAAGATTGTAATAAGTCTCTTGTCTGTACTCCATCAGTTTCTTGTAACTTGTGGCATCTAAGACTTGGACACCCTCATTATGAGGCACTTAAGTCCATTCTTCAATATTGTAAAATTTCTTCAAGTAATAAAAATGATATTCAGTTTTGTTCTGCTTGTTGTCTTGGAAAGGCACATAGGTTACCTTCATATTCATCCTCTACTATATTTCATAAACCATTTGAATTAATCTTCACAGATCTCTGGGGCCCTGCTCCTGTGATATCTTTTGATGGATACTCCTATTACATAGCATTTATAGATGCTTTCACTAGATATACTTGGATCTATTTTCTGAAAAAGAAATCAGATGCTATCATTGCCTTTCAGAACTTCTATCAGTTTGTTCTAAATCAATTTTCAGTATCTATTAAATCCATCCAGTCTGATTGGGGAGGAGAGTTTAGGTCCTTCACAAACTTTCTTAATGAAAAAGGAATCACACACAGAATCATTTGTCCTCACACACATCATCAAAATGGTGTTGTGGAAAGAAAACACAGAACTATTGTGGAAAAAGGTCTGTCACTACTAGCCCATTCTTCCCTACCTTTTAAATTTTGGGACACTGCCTTTGCAACCTCTGTGCATCTCATCAACAGAACCCCATCAAAGTCCATTTCAAATTCCATCCCTTATTTCAAACTCTATGGATCCATACCAGATTACAACTTTCTCAGAGTTTTTGGTTGTGCTTGCTACCCCTTTATCAGACCATATAACAAGCACAAAATGGATTTTCATTCAGAGGAGTGCATTTTTATAGGGTATTCCTCTCAACACAAAGGCTACAAGTGTCTTTCTAAATCTGGCAAAATTTACATTTCCAGAGATGTGACATTCAATGAATCACAATTCCCATATTCCACATTATTTCCAACTAAAAATTCTACACCTCAAGACACCCAAACACCAACTTCTGCCACCTTATCTGTCTTGTCCTTACATCCTCTACATGCTCCTGATTCATCCTCATCTTTTCATTCCCAATCAAATAGCTCCCATAACTCATCAAGTCAGTCTGATTCTCAATCAAACAGTTCTCATAATTCATCAAATCAGTCTCATTCCTCTCACAGTTCTTCAAATCAAACTCTTCCTCCTCATTCACAGTCCAATCCTTCAAACAACTCTCAGTCCACTTCTTCCAATCACACACAACCTAATTCATCACATCCATCATCTAATTCACTTTCTTCCTCTTCTTCTGAGTCTTCTTCTCCTCCCTTAGTTAACAACCATCCCATGCAAACTAGAGCCAAATCAGGAATTGTGAAACCCAGACTAAATCCAACTTTGTTACTTGCCCATGTTGAGCCTAAGTCAGTTAAGCAGGCTCTTTCATCTCCTCAATGGTTCAGTGCTATGCAGTCTGAGTATAATGCTTTAATAGCAAATAAAACCTGGTCATTGGTTCCACTCCCACCTGACAAACGTGCTATTGGCTGTAAGTGGGTTTTCAGGGTAAAAGAGAATTCTGATGGCTCCCTCAATAAATACAAAGCAAGATTGGTGGCAAAAGGCTTCCACCAAAGGTTTGGTTTGATTTCAGTGAGACTTTCTCACCTGTTGTTAAACCTGTTACCATAAGAATTCTCCTTACTCTAGCTGTTTCTCATAATTGGCCTATTCAGCAACTAGACATTAATAATGCTTTTCTTAATGGACATATTGATGAAGAGGTCTACATGGTTCAGCCACCTGGGTTTCAATCTGAAGATCCTTCTCTTGTCTGCAAGCTTCACAAATCCCTATATGGACTGAAACAGGCACCAAGGGCATGGTTCCATAAACTCACATCTGTTCTTTATGGTGCAGGATTCAAACAAAGTACTTGTGATCCTTCTCTACTTCTTTTTCTGACTTCTGACATACAAATCTACATCCTGATCTATGTAGATGATATCTTAGTCATTGGAAATGATTCCATAGCTGTTCAAAACCTCATCAATAAGCTTCATACATCTTTCTCACTCAAGCATCTAGGAGAAATTGACTTCTTTCTTGGCATTGAAGTCAAAAAGACAAAAAATGGTAGCATTCACCTATCTCAAACCAAATATATCAGGGATTTACTTCACAAGGTTGGCATGCTTGACTCAAAGGGAGTCAAAACACCCATGGTGAGTAGCTGTAAACTCACCAATACAGGAAGTGATATCTTACCTGATCCATCTACATACAGATCTATAGTTGGTACTTTACAATATGCTACCCTTACCAGACCAGAACTTAGTTATGTTGTGAACAAAGTGTGTCAATTTATGGCCAATCCTCTGCAGGATCACTGGAAAGCTGTCAAGCATATTCTTAGATATCTGTCTGGTACTATCACACATGGTCTCATTATCAAACCTCTTCCTTTGAAAACCATGTCCATGCCTATTTCAGCATTCTGTGATGCTGATTGGGCTTCAGATCCTGTTGACAGAAAATCCACATCAGGTTCTTGTATATTCCTTGGTTCAAATATCATCTCTTGGTGGTCAAAGAAACAAGTAAAAGTTGCTAGATCCTCAGCAGAAGCTGAATATAGAAGCTTAGCAGACACTTCATCTGAACTCCTATGGATTCAATACTTGCTCAAGGAACTCAAAATACCATTCACTACTCCAAAAGTGTATTGTGATAATCTCAGCACTGTACAGCTAGCACACAATCCTGTTCTACACACGCGGATCAAACACATGGAGATTGATCTCTTCTTTGTCAAGGAAAAGGTTCAGTCTAAGCAGATTGAAGTCTTCCATATCCCAGCCTCTCAACAACTTGCTGATGTTCTGACAAAGCCATTACCAGCCTCAATGTTTCTTGATTTCAAAACAAAACTTAGTGTGATTGACTTTCCAAAGCAATCACCCTAATTTTGAGGGGGGAATGTTAGGAATAGTACACGAACTGTAATACTTCTCTTTGTATTGAGTTTGTTAGTATCTGTTAGTGCTAATACAGTTAGTTAGATTTCTGTTAAGCTCTAGTACTATAAATACTTGTAATCGGTTCATGAATAATAAGATTGGTTCATTCTTCCTAAATCCTTCTTACTTTTCTAATACAGCAAAAGAGAAGTAAAATCATAATAATTTTTATAAACCACCTCTAATGGACTCACCTTAAATTGCAAAGTGCTGTTGATAGCATCACTCACAAGCTCCCAATTCGGACCCATGTCATGCACCAAAACAACAAGTGCCTGGCATTTATTTCAGTTTAGTTGAAGCATGATCTCAAGTACCAATCTACAGTCAATCAAGGGCAATAATATTCTACCTGGTCCTCAAATAGCGACCATTGGCTTCCTGACGTGAGATATCCAGCTGGGCTCTAAGAGCAGGATTAAAAAAGTTTTCTTCAAGAAGAAATAGGAATATGCACAAACTTACATTGAAGATAACAAAAAGGGTAATAGATAGAAACAGATATCTGGCTTTGTACCTTCGGATTTTTACCCTTCCTACTGCGATCACGCCCAGCAAGCATTTTCATTATTCTATTGGGGTTGGACATATTACTCATTTGGGACGCCACAGGTGATGCGACGGATCCCAAAACAGGGGATATATTATCAAAAGAGTTTTCCATTGATGGTCGCATAATCTTCTGTTTCTTTGAAATATGAAGACCGAATTGACCTTCAAAAGAATGTCAAGTGTGACATATGTTTGAGTCACAAATGAAAATCAGTCAAATCCATCATCATAAGGACCTAATATGATTTGATTAAAATTATTACCGCTGCAACTGGGTTCAACTTGAAAACCATCCAGTCTTTTTCTGGAACTCTCTCTCTGTAATTCAAAAAAAAATGTAAGCCACTATCACAAACATCAAGGAACTGTTTTTGTTTGTTAGATGAAGGTTGTCTGATGGAATTACTAGGTTCATGAAAGCCGTCAAAATACCACTTTGCTCTAAAATAGACGTAGGTTTTCATATAATTGAAGTTGACAGAATTTACCGTATGTTCTTAATGATTATTGTTAAGGTTACATTAGAACTTGAAGAATTTAAGTGGATATCACCAATGCTATTCTTCACTGATTTACCAGTGAGGTTGATGGCAGATTAAGGCAGATAGCCCCCAAAAAACATCATATACATATGGCGGATTGGATTACAGCAAATGGCGAAACATAGTGGACTAGATAAAAAAAATATTGCATAACTAGATATATCATAGTAGTTGTAAGCACTAATGTAACAAAAAGATTCTAGTAACATTAACAAAGTCAGTGATAAACTTTCTCTTGAAAATGAGGTACTAAGCAAACGAGCAAGGCAGTATACAAGCTAAAAAAACGAGAGGTGCTAAAATTGAAAGGTGGTGTTTCAGTGTATAAGTAGCTGCCAAGTGCCAACATACTGAACATGTAACTCGTTCATATGTTTAAGCATAAGTAGATGTAAATGCATCACCAATGTAAATTGTTTAAGATAACTAAAATAAACGTTCAAATACAACGATAAGAAATGAGCACTATAAGAAAAACAAACTCCAAATATGCTTTTATTGTTCTATCAATTCAAACACCAATGGCACTCCCCAAACATCTCTTAAGAGATGGTATTTGTGAGGACTTAAGATTGGCCAAAAAAAAATATAATGCACGGAAACACTAGGAGGGCTGAGTTTCCCCGTATCGGAAACGTACGTACATTGCCGAACACAAGAAACGGCTGAAACGTGTGTTGGGGCCGGTTTTAATTTAGGGAAATTCGGAAACGCGTTTCCCCCCAAAAAACAGAGTTTCAGAAATTTTAAACCTCTTCTCTTCAACCCTAGTCTTGTTCAGTGCTACGTCGGCTTCAGCATCTTGGTGAGCAGGTCTTCATCTTCAGCAATTTAGGGTAACTCCCAAACTCTTAAATTGTTCCCCTTCTTCTATGACTGTTCTGTTGCTCATTCTGTCGCTTTATCTTTGCTCTTCTCCGCTTCTCGGTCGATAATTTTTGGGCTAATGGCTATACATTTTTTAGCTCGTAAATGTATGCTTTGTAAATTCTTACATAGCCCTATATTTACTTGTGAATGTCTGATAGTGGGGTAGATTGCCAGATAAGTCCATGAGTGATGATGTGTATTCCACTACTAAGGAGTAAATATTTTATGGTACTTGGGAGCTTTACTTCAGTCCGTATTATTTATGTGTGTGTGTATGCACACACATATATATAATATTTATAAAATAAACCCTATATTTTTTTTATTTACGCATTTCCCCCATGTTTTGTTTCCTGTATTTTTGGAAAATGGCGTTTTCGACATTTCCCGTTTCTTGTTTCTCGTTTCCCATTTCCCGTTTCCGTGCTACTTAGCCAAAAGCACATTGAGTTATACTATAAACACGTTTATTTCTCTATAGTTCGTTATGGTGGGGCTCTTCAACAATATTGTTTCTCGTGCATGCTACTAGAGATGCACAAAGAGATTTAGAAAATGGAAGGTTCACAAAGAGACGGAAAGCTAGAGGTAGAGGAAGGAGGAGGCATCAATAGTGAGTGATCAATACATTAAGGAAAAAATTAAGAAAACACACTGATAGAGGAAAGTACAGAGTAGTGGTGCCCCATCAATTTAATAATCATCAACTTTGAAGCAAGGCCATGTGAACATATATGAACCATAAAAATGTGGTGGCAAGAGAGGTAAAAGAACCTGCTGATTTTGAAAACCAGAATTGTCCTGCCATCTCTGTTCATACGAAGAATTCTGTGAAGAAAAATCAAACAAAAGCAAGAAAATATCAAAAGCCAAACAGTACATTGTGCACTTTATGACTTCTCAACATATTTAAGTTATCAAATACCAGGAACTTAGCCTTTTTCTTCTTTTTTGGTTTACTAAATGCTTCAGTAGAGTCAAACTGAAGCTGTCTTTCAAAGCCCCCTGCAGAATCATCTTCTAAAGTGTTCAGATTGTGTGGTCCTCCATGCAATGTGCTCTGATCATCTTGAAACGAACTGGTGTCACCACTTGAAGCCTCCGCCTTGAGAGGCAGATGAAGACCTGATGTGCTACCTATAAATGGGCTCAGAACTCTTTGCCTAGAACCAGTCCGTACACGTTTTGTTGGAAAAGACACATTAAGACTGCTGGAAGGCCGTTTAGCCTGAACCATATATTGTTGATTCACTGCTTTATTTTCAAAGCAGTGGGAAAATGACATGTCGGCACCAATATCATAAGATCTTCCTTTATTTGTCCGCATCTGGATTTTATGCTTCCTCTGGGCAAATCTAGAAGGGTTGATACCTTCAAAGACAACACTATATGTATTTGTTTCCCCTTCATCCTCTTCATTGACATAATCTTCAGACCCCAAGTCTGCCATAAAATGAACAGTGGGCTAGTCAAACAACTAAGCTATATACAGAAACTGAAAGTAATTGTTCTCAGAAAAGAACCTGCACAAGCAGACATCTCAACCTCCTTATGCATGTTGCTGCTAACTCTCTGAAAATAGGTAATGATAGAATAACACTGAGAAAAACTGGCTTAGTGCACAAACTTGAATTTAAATTAAAAAACTCTACACTAGTGAGACACTGACAGGAAGTTGTCTCGTGGTTCCTATATTCTGGTGATTGTGTACGTCAATGAAGATTTATTTTGTGTAATACTCTGCAGGACCTCCCAAGTCCCAAGGATATATCAATGTTCACAGTAATGATCCCGATAGCAGTTGTATATACAAACATTCTATCTAAATCAACTAGTTTCCTTCGTTTAACCCCACCATCAGTAGAGAACCCATGAACATAAATAATTGGACTAACGAAAAAACAAGTAATGGGCAATTCTCTGTTATGAAGTAATGCGTACTAGCAGATAAGAAGGAAATAGTAACAAATACATGAGCATGACCATGCAAACTAAAAAAGAAATAAACAAATCCATATCATGGGCCTAGCAGGCCAATCCAGTAGATGATTTATTCATAAGTTCATCATGAGATTAAATCTATGACAAAGACAACATGATGTGTGTACCACTGTAAAAAGCTGTGAAAACCTATACGCTTAAAAATTATTTCTTGGTTCTACTAAATATATCGTATCTAACGTTTTCAAACCCTTTTTGGCAAATTAAATAAAAGCATAGATTGGGGGAGCTTTTGGAACACGACTGTATTTTTTTATTGGAGTATACTATTGTTAAGGGTTATGAAAATAAATGAAGAGTGAGAACAAACATTACCTCATACTGTAGCACATGAGCCTCAATAGATTTTCTGTACATTTCAGTTGCATTAGGAGGAACAGTATAAAAGATATTCTCCTGCAAGAAGGTAAATGAAGATACAATACAAGGATTAATCAACTAAAAAGCCTATAAATGAATATGAGTACTGTGGTCTGTGGTCACTCCCTAAATAAGGGTGAAGTAATATCATCTTGAAATCATACTGCCATATTACAACAACAACATTCAAGCCTGAGTCTCAAAAGAATTTGGGGTCTGCTGACACAAATTGCTATATGAAATCGGAGCTAAAAGGGATTAAAAAGATAAAAAGGTAAAAAAGATAAGATAAAGATAAAGATATGATAAAAAAGATATGATAAAAAGATAAAGAAGAATAAACAGACAAAAAGATAAAAATGAAAAAAGAGATTTAAAGGAAGAAAAAAAGATAAAACGATACAACAACAACATCCAAGCTTTATTCCCAAAAGGATTTGGGGTTGCCTTATTCCCAAAAATATAAAAACGATAAAAATAAAAAATGAGATCAATCTTCCACGCGCACATTCTTCCCCTCCACTTTGCTCTCTCCAAAATCATCATACTGTCATATTGTTGCATGGAATTGTCGGCATTAATATGCCAATATTAATGCCATAATATGGCAGTATGATTTCCACATGACAGTACTTGTTCGCATTTAGGAAAAAATATAGTAATCCCGTTTAGGGAAACCATCTTGTTTTTACTCCTATTTAGAGCAATTTCTTTAATAAAAATGCAAAGCAAAATATCCACTCATCTATTGAAGGTGCTCTCACATGATCATCAGACGGAAATGAAATACAAGATAATAGGCCTCAAATGTAGCATAATAATAACAGCAAAGTCACCAAGGATGGTCCATACTTCTGTCAAATGGTTTTCCCAAGGCAAGCCTTTAACTTCGGAATCAACTTTTTGTTTTGAAGTTGCAGGACCACTATAATTATAGTTCAGGAATCTCACAGCATATTCCTTGACAGCAGGAGCAAAGCCTTCTTTAGGGCATTGGGCCACCTGGTTTAATGTAGAACCCTGCCAGTCATTTATGTCGGAAAAGAATTAAAAACTGAAGAGGAAGTTTCTTGAAGAAAAAGAGAGAAGAGTAAGCAAAAAAACGCAGCCAGGCAAGGAAAAATAACCATGATTACTGCAAATCTAGATAGCAATTGCCAACTCACGTAAAGAAATTAAAATCATAAAAATTGGGAAGTTAGGAACACAAAATACAACAGATCATGTAAAAATTACTTTTGTTCATACCTTCACTGAATGCCAGAAGCCCATGACAGCCTTTGCCAGAGTTTGAGCTATACCTTTTTGCTTCCAACTAGTGTTCCATTCTTGGATTCCTGACCTGGCGGTAAAAGCAGCTTGGTAAGAGATTTGGGAGGCAGCAGTTATCTTCCAGAGACGCTCCTACATGAAGCAATGTTGTTGTAATTTAGAATATGTACTGACTACTAAATTGTCTTCCCAATAAGAACAAACCATTGATAAATCATAAATGTATGATCATATATTTCACTTGCAAAGTATTTAGGGCCTGTTTATTTGATTGTTAAAAACGCAATTAGGTTACCATTACAAGAGATGTAAGCAGTTTTAGGCAGTTAAATGTGTTCTTAATAAACATGTTATCTCTTTAAAGTGGTGCTTAATAAACAAGCAGGCACCATGTATTATTTAAGCGTCGACATAAGCCCCTCCTAATGACAAGTGTGCCCTCTTCATCAAAATAATAATTTTTTTATTTCTTTTTGTATCACATATGTTTCTACCTGCATCAAGATCCACCTCATCTTCCTCTTCATCATAAACCACTAGGCGTATATTAAACCTCCTCCTTTTAAAAAAGACTATATGTTGCAACCAGTACGCCACTATCCTAGGTTTGGATTTCTTCATCAGGTTTGAGTTTCTTTTTCAGGTTATGTTTTCAGCTAGAATTGAATTATTTATCTATGGATTAGTAAATTATACTTTCCATTTGGCGATGATATAAGTGAATAAGCAAGGGCTAATCGAAACCATTAAAACTTGAAAAGACAATTCTAGAACTTCTGAAACAAGATATCTCAAACAAATCACAACTTTTCCACTACAAGAACAAAATTATTCAAAAGGAAGTTTTGTTCCCTTTGATGTAGGTCACAAGGAAGGCTAGAGGGGGGAGATGGTAGGAAAAAAGAATGTGATTCCAGCGATTCACGGTTATTTTTTCTAAAAGAAAGAAAGATGTTTTAGACATTTTAAAATTATGACATAACTCAATTGATGTGAAGTAAATATTTGTTTATCAAGCAATTTTTACTAAGCAGTAGCTAGTTAACGCCGAAGTTAGTAAGCACCGTTTACTAATTAGTGAAGTAAACATGTCCTTAGTACAATACTACAATATCCTAACCTGTGCAACATCATTTGCCAACCAAGCCATCTCTTCAAGCACATAGTCCCAGTGAGATTTTCGGTGATTCTCTGTTGGGCAAGTGACAGCAGATAATTCTGTAATCCTCTTATGCTTAGCCTGTGTATTGAAATTAAGTAAACAGTTGGAACATAAAAGTCATAAGTGAAACTTCCAGAGAACAAACAAGAGCACAAATCCAAGGCACTGTAGATATCAAAAGGCAACCTCTATAATGCGTGCCTCTTCCAATATTGAATCTTCATCAGCTTTGCTAACCAGTTTTATGTTTACATCACATTGACGCCCCTCAGAGGGAGCACTTGAAACTGCAACATCTGGAGCAACTTCCACAAGCTGTGGAATAGAGGAATCAATTGAAGCTTGAAGGGGAACATCACAAGTGCTGTCATTTTGGTGGTTCGAATCGTCATCTACACGAACACTCTGTTTTGAATCATTTTCTTCTGAAAAGGGGGTGACTGATTCCTTCCTTTTAATAAGATTTCTGTCTTGTACCTTATTATGGAGATCAGAGTGACTACTGGGCAATTCTTCCATTGATTTTAGTCCGGAGTCAATATATTGGTCATTTTCACACATAGACTTGCATATATCACCAATAAAAGGGCAGTTATCGTCAGCCTTGCTCTCTCCCTCATCCTTCATTTCTGTATTTATTATTCCTTCAGGCAATGAGGATTCAATCTTCATGTTCCCATTAGAATCTAAAAATCTTGAGTTAGTACACATTTCTCTGTCATTATTTCCATCTAAACTATGGTTGATGTGAGCTTGAGTGTGAGACAACTCAGACTCTAAAACACTTGTGAGTGGTGTCTCATTGTTGCTTGACAGGTATTTCCTGCCACCCTTTGCACTAATTAACCCATTTTTTTGGCTAGAACCACATAGGTTTTCAACCATTACAGAATCCACATAGAGCTGGCCTGCAGGGCCTTTCTTCCCTTTTTCTGACAATGATTCAGGACCTACACGGGCCACCTCTATAGGACTTTCTTGGGAGGAAACTACTGAATGTTGCCCTGGCTGGATATATACTTTATCTTTGGAATAAATAAGATCCGGCACAGTATGCTCACCATCTTTCAACATAATTGTTGTTGACTCTGCAGCCTTCATACCACCAGACTCCAAATCATCTTGATTACGAGAAAGTAAAGTTTTACAAGACACGCCACCATTTTCACTTGTTAGAAGCGCAGTACCATTTTGGACTGCCTTGTTTTTTGCATCAAAAACAACTCCTTTTGTATCACTTAAACCATTGTGTGAAGGAAAAGATCCAAATCCTGCAGAAACTCTGGCATCATTGGAACTGGACCTAGCACCATCACGATTTGGACGGCGCCTGAACCGCCGCTTGTATGCTTTCCTTGGAACATCAAAAGCTGCAGAATCTCCTAATTCCTGAGCACTCCGATTTCCATTTATCTGAGTTGACTGTTCCAAAGTAGCAACAGCAGTCCTACTATATTGCTTAGGCACCCGCTCCCCTTCAATGCACTCATTTTCACCATCAAATAGCAAAAGGTTATCAGCACTGTTTGGTTCACAAAGTAGAGTGGCCCCTGGTCTACCAATACTTTCAACAGAATCTCCATGAGGTGATGCAGTGAACGCAAAACTACCTTTTGCTTCACTGAAATGCATAAGAAAAATCAATGATTACAAAAAATGACAGGATAGAGAACTATACACAGGCTTCTACTACAACCCCAAAAAGGTACCTGATGACAAACTGGTCTGGTTGTGTCAGTGAGGTGGATTGGACGCTAACTGAAGCAGCATTTCCATATTTGAACTGCAGTGGGTCTCCACCCTGTAGATAGAATGACCAAAGCATTCACACGATCTACAATAATTTGAAATAATTTGCAATGTAAAAGAACAAAAAAAGACTGAAAAATAGAATGTAATGCTTCTTCACACTTTCTCAAGAAATTCCAACTGTCTTCGGCTTTCCTCTCTCACATCAAACTCCTGCCTGGTATTTGCCATTAAATTTCACAATGTCAGGGATTTAAATCAGAAACATACAAGCAAAAAAAATGATGAACTACCTAAGTTTTTCTTGAACTTTCTGAAGTGATGCACTCCATGGAGAGGTAACTCCACCTTCAACAACTCCTCCCATCAAATCAACCTCTGCATTGACTACAAGAGCAAATGTAGCGCATCTATGCTTCCCAACTTGCAACCAAAGACTACTCCCCACTAATTTGGCTACAAATAACATAATAAGTGATGTTAAAAAATGCAAGCACGCTTGTAAATGTACAAGATTTAATTGGTTAAAATCTTTAAACTGCAAAACTCGTAGGCATGACTGCAGTACTTTCATTTAGGTATATTCAGGAAGGTGATATGCTTACCCACAGAATTTCATGGGGGTATAACCTAAAATTTTTAAAAAAAAATGGAGACTAAAGTTAAGAATAAAACCAGGACAGGCATTACCTTTTCGAGAATTGACCTTAACTTTTATCACAAGCAGACAAGTAAATTTATGCTCCCTCCATCCTACCATATGTATGCCACATTTGACTTTTTGTGGTCAAAGATGTCGCACCCTGGCCAATGTTTTAAATCAATACATTTTAGTACTTGTTACAAACTGTGTACTTTATAGGAGTACTTTTTGTGAAGAACAATTGTATATTACTTTCACGTTTTAAATTATAAATGATCACAGTTGAAGTATTTACCCACAAAAAGTCAATGTGGCCAAATAGAGTAGGATGGAAGGAGTGTACTATAAAATTGCATGAACTATATGCAACGATAGCATAAGCTCTCAAGCATACACTGCTATAAAACTAGCTCTGGTGCAGGCTCCGAGATTAAGAACAAAAGTACAACCTCACAAATGCATTGATTGAGAAAATGAAAAAGCAATATAATAAAAACAGACAATATATGGTGTGGTTAACACTTCACAGAATAAACCCCTATGAGAGTTTATTCTGTAAAGTAGGTGGGTACCTTTTCTAATAGAGAAGATAAAGAAGTTGCGCGTACTGCTGCGGCTGAAGATCTATGATGGAGGGGCGTGGAAGGACCAAGAATGGGAGAAACAGAAGCGAGGGAGGGCAGGATTAGGTCAATGAGTCAATCATCAGGTGGGGGTGAGGAAATTGAGTCATGGAAAGGGAGGAACGAAAATAGCTAGCCTTCAATGATCATGGAATATATTCAGACAACAAATAATATACTCCGTGATGAGATGGTGGGAAAGTGATTCTTTTAGATCTATGAATGTAAATAGCTTTCTTTTTCTATTGGGCTGAGTTTTTTAGAACAATAATAACAAAATTGTAGCACATATTGGCAGGTAAATTATTACCGATATTAATGGAACCACACTATTTGGCTTGTTTAGTTTCCCTTTACTCTGTATAATTTAGAACAAAGAATATGATAAAATAATAATAGCAAATTATAGGATGCATTTGTACTAATATATGCAATAATAATAAAAGTACTTTCAAAGTGTGTGTCTGAGTGTGTGTAAAATATATGGCTATGTTGAATGAATCTTAATTTCTTTAGAGTACTTACTCAATTTTGTTACGAGTTAGAGATATCTTAAGATTCTAAAATGTTGATATTAATATGTATAGTAGTATATAAGTAGGGCCTAAGATCCAAAAATCTTGCTTCAAAGAAACTATAACCAAAGATAGTAACAAATAACGGGTTTATGCTGTAAGTAAGTTTACTTAAATGAACTAATAAAATGTAACATGTATGTTTGGCTAACTAACTCTGGAAAAAATAGTGACGACGAATAGGTCACCGATGGAAAAAATTACCTTGAAGGTAAACTAACGTTCTGGAAACATCAACCTCTGTAAGATTATTTTCTGAGCCAATCAGTATTCAAAACAGGGAAAGGGAAGAAGCTGGCTTATTGATGATTTAAATAAAATAAAAAATTGCAACTAATACCTTCTATCAGATAGATCTGCTAATTAGGATAGATGTCATGGTAGCTTTGCAAGTATACATTCAATGACGCCTCCAAATGGTTAAAGTAATGGGAATATATGGATGATGAGGATGGTGTATTTTGGGGGGGGAAATCCCGGACGGATTTAACGAGATGTTGCGCCGTCGAATTGTCAAACACAAAGCTTAAGTCAATAAAAAAAACTGTCATTGGGTATACGTCTAATAAAAAATCAGAAGCCTATGAAATAAGGGCAGAACTGTCAATGGAGAAATGCTTAAGTCACCGATTAAATAAAACATGGGGGGGGGGGGCGTTTAATAAGCGCCGATTAAAGGGTGCAACTGTTTAGTAACCAGGCATCTTAATAACCTAACGGTGAGTTTAACATCAAAGTAAACATGTCCTAAGAGTTTGGTCTTCTTGTATAGTCCATTTCCTTCTATTTGCTTTTTCAACATGTGTCATCTTTGGAAAAAAAATACAAAAACAAATTAAGACAGCCATAAGAAATGTTGACACACGAAACAGAATTACTATCAATTACAACAGCAGATGCTAGAATAATAAAATTCTAACTCCCATATGATACTTCCCTATTTCATTTTGTGATAATTTGTAAATCTCAAAAGAAAGCTGGGTTGAATTTCTATAAATCTAGCTATTCGATCCTTACAGTTTATTTCTCACTTTTAACACCAAGCATATAAAAAATGTGATTCATTAGAACAGATTAAAAAACTATGGAACTGGTGAAGACATGTAGGTTAAAGGGTTGTTGATACAAAGCAATACTTGATGCATCTGGAGGCACAAGTCGGTTGCTAATGAAGTAGACTTTGTATTTCACAAATACCATAGCAAACTCGGTCATATAAAGGTGAAAAACACACAACAGAAAGTAGAACTCACTTCATTAGATTCATAGATTTTTTGCCACATAAAGTCATTAGAATATTAGAAAAATGACTCAAAGTCAACCAAATATATATATATACATAACTCAAATGTAAGAGCTCGGGGTTAATCATGTGAACACATGCATATATGGCATAGTATAGATATTGATTTATACTCTGTATAATGTATTGAATTATCATATTTTCAAATATTCACTAAAGACAAATATTTTTAGCTGTATTTTGGTATAGTTGGTGCAGCTGCAACAGAAAGTATCAAACGAATTTTAAAACATACTCTGTATTATATTTCACTAATGGATAGAAACATATCCATACCTTACTTACTAAGAAAAATCTGCAGGAAAGGGATTATTGCTTATTAGCACAACGAATAACCCAAAGAAAAAGGATAATTAGAGAGGAATGAAGAGATAGTTAGTGCAGTGTACAAACACAAAAAAAATGCAGGGAAGGTGATGAAATATGCCCAGAATAAATCAAGCAAGAACAAAAAAGTGAATTGTTGAAACTTTCATTCTCAATCTTGAAAGACTAGGAATGAAATAATGTAGCTAATTCTTCTTAGCAAAGGGAAGCTAGCATGTGTAGCAAGCAAGTCCTAGGTTTGAGTTTGATTCTTCTTCTTACCGTAAGGCAAAGGGAGTGTCAGGCAACTAGACTTCGCACTAATCCATGAGTTCAAATGTTCTTACTATGAAGTGAATCAATATGACGGATTTTCCTTTACTAGATGAAGTATACCACCAGAAATAGCAAATACGTATAACCCTACCTCCACACTTCTCCAGAATTAGCCATTGTATACGAATAGCAGGTTATCGAAGTTAGGTTTAAACTTTTATTCAACAAATTTCGAAAACCTAACTCACACAATATACCTAAATAAAGGTTAATTTTACCTGAGGTGTCGGTTGCGACATGGAGGAGTTACTGTGGTGTCGATTACCTGGAGAATTTTTCTTGTGCGAGCAAAAAAGTTTGGAAGAAAATGAATTTTGGCAGAAAATGAGATGTCGTCGTGAGAAGCAGAAGGAAGAAGAAGGGCTGTTAGGGTATACCTGTAATAAAAAAATCAGAAGCCTATGAAATAAGGGCAGAACTGTCAATAAAGAAATGCTTAAGTCATTGATTAATAAAGGGATAAATAATTAAAGTAACTAAACTATGAAAGACTGGGAGATGAGCACCCCAAACTTGCATATGTAATTTTAATATGTAAAAGGAGCAAATAAGTAACGCAAAAAGGCCATATTTATGAGGCTTTGTCTCGCCTTCGCCATTTGGGTGGTTCTCGGTGGAATTTTTTGATGAATTTTTTTTACCATCATATTCATTAAGTCTAGTTTACTCATACCAAATTTCAGCTAACAATTCAATCGGCAAGACACTCAAATGAATTCTTGAAGATAACTGCCAAAGCCCTAACCCTTTCACATGAACTTTATATAAAATGTTGTTATAACACTGATGGGGTATATGGACTCCGACCCCCCGGTCTTCCATTATTGGGCCTTGACAGCGGTTCACGTACACCAGCAGACAACATTTATATTAATGTATAGTTTACATATTCATTGTATGTACTAGATTAGCTTTCTATACTATTAGTCCATTTATGTAACTGGGTCCGTTGGGCCCATATTAGAGGCTCAGACCCGGATTTACCTATACGTACTCCTTATAGGAGGCTTGTAAACCAGAAGCAATATTCATTTTATACACATTCATCTCCTACCTCTCCATTCTCTTGTTCATCTCTCCTTTATTTATACAATATGGGTATCGATTATCCATCAAATGGTGCTCTCACTGAAAGGTTTGAACACAAACAAGTGAGAAAACCTCCCAAAATTAACAAAAGATTCATCAAAATCACAAAAAACACAGTTGGAACGGACTTGGAATGAAGAATCTGGGATTCCGCAGACTGGTCAGAGCAACCGTCACCCCCAGCTGGATCACAGGTCGCGTCACCCCACTTCTGGCCTAGCACCCGTGCCTCCGACTAGCCACCATCGCCACAGATCTCGCCAGCCGTCGTCTGTAGTTTCCAGATAGGAATATTCAACTTCTAGATCTGGAAAGGGCGAGCTTGGCACGCCAAGCTCCTCCACCAGCCGTTTTCTGCACAACTTCAGCCCTTGTGGATGCCGCTGGTTCAGCATCATGGTTTCCCGAGGTTATTACGGACAGAGCAGTGAAGGTCCCTGCTAATCAATCGGTGGCCTAGAGCACCTACCGACCTGAGGTTTTTGTTCAGATCTGAACTCCCTGGTCAGCAGAGTTGATCAACCGGAACAATCAGAGCCTCGTAGGGCGTCACTTGAAGCTTTTGGTCGACACTTGCTTTTCATCTTGCCCGTCTTCGCTTATTTGTATTGTTAATGGCCGCCTTGGAGCTCTTGAGAGCGACGAGTGACTCTGAGCACAGGCCCTGCAGCTTTCGTCGCAACATTTCTTGCCTTGCTCCAGGTCGCTCCGCCGTGTGAACGATCTGTTACGGTAGCTCGATGGTCTTCGTCCGCCATTAATGGTTGTATGAGAGCTCTCTGCTCACGAACCATGTAGCAGCACGTCAGCAACATCGAGGGTTTCTTCTCCCCCTCTAACAACGATTACGACCAGGGAGCGCCCCCCGTTCCTCTAGCCGCGCCTTGCTAGGTTCTCTCTCGCCTCCATTTCCGGCGGCAGCAAAGGCGGAGTGCATACCCAGCTCTCCGTACGTCGTTAAAGGCCAGCAGCAGAAGCCCCTATTTCTTTCAGATCTAAATGTTGCGGGATTTGAATACGGGCCAGAAGAATCAAAGCCTCCCAAGATTGGTACCAACTGGGACGGACCAAGAGGGAAGCAGTGGGCCAGGCCACAGTTGATCCAACTAAATAGTTCAATGGGCCTCAATCTCAGCAACATATTTCAGCCCAATCAGTCCATTATTTCAGCCCACTTCAAAAAGATAAGTACTCTTTAATTTTTATATTATTTATATTTATTTAAATCATTTTTTGTGAGGTGAATGTCAAACTATCACGCACTTATGACCAAATGCCTAGTAGAGTGTGGCTTGAGACCCATCACTATGATTTAAAGTCCTGACCCAGATCAGGCACAAAGCCCCGACCAAGTCGGGCACGAAGAACAGTCTTAGTCATTCCTCGAGTGGCGACCGTTGCTTGCGAATGGCTCACACATCCACTCTACTAAGTATTTTATCATTACATTTACAATTCACATTTCCAGTTGTTTCAAGTAACGAACTCCCGATCGGAAACATAACTCCCAAGAAAAAATTTATATGTATGTTAAATGTGTAGGTACAAAGATGACTTTACTCATTTTCACCTTGTTCCCACTCGCCTCAAGGAGTGGGGGACTGGGGGACTGAGTGGTCAGAGTTTCTAAATGAGCAAAAAATATCACGCATGAGCAGGAACTAAAGCTAAGTCGGATGAAGAGGAGTTGAGCTAGATTGATTATGCCGGGGGGACTTACCTTCCTTGTTTCATGTTGGGGGCCCTAGGTGTACTCTTTTTCCCTTTATTAGGATTTTTCCCACTGGGTTTTTTCCTAGTAAAGGTTTTTTAATGAGGCACCTCCCCATCATGGACAAGGGTGGTGGTCCCCCGGCCGAAGAGGAACAAACCAAAGACAAAAGAACGTTTCAAATACAATTGTAGACTACTCTCTTTCACCTCGAGTACTCTCGGCTCAGGGAATGGGGGACTCCTGATCGAGTATATGGACTCCGACCCCCCGGTCTGCCGACTATTGGGCCTGGACAGCGGTTTACGTACACCAGCAGACAACATTTATATTACTGTATAGTTTACATATTCATTGTATGTACTAGATTAGCTTGTAAACCAGAAACAATATTCATTCTATACACATTCATCTCCTACCTCTCCATTCTCTTTTTCATCTCTCCTTTAATTTTACAATATGGGTATCGATTATCCATCAAACACCATTATCATGTACGGAGTATCATTTTTTCAAAAATATAAAATTATGATGGTAATTGCATATTTTAACATATCAAATTGAAAACTTTGCAATTATAAATAGCGTGGGTACTATTTGTTTTACAATGGAAGTTTAGATGTTAATTGTATCTTTATGAATGCTAAAATATTTTAAATTATGAAGTTAACACAAAAAATTGACATTTTTAAAAAAATAATAATACTTAAGTAACATGATTAGGGTGTTAAAATAACTATTTATATGAAGTTTGGGGTATTTAAATTAGGAGTTTTTCCAAAAATAATACTCTCTCTGTCCCGATAAATTTTTCAAACTTTCCTTTTCGGGTCGTCCCAATAAATTCTTCCAACTTTCCAAAAAGGAAACTAACTCATACTAAAAACTCAAATTTGCCCTCCCCTTTTAAAATTATTCCTTGTTCCCTTCTCCCATTTACCCCATCCGCATCTCTCTCCCATTTACTCCCACCGCCTCCCTCTTTCTCGGTCACTGCATCGGTCTCTCTCTCAATTACTCCATCTGTCTCCCCCTTTGTAATCTATCTACCCTTCTGCCTCCCTCCCTCTCACAATCTTCTGAATTTAAACCCTAGTAGTTTCAATCGCATAACCTGTATCGGTACTCCATCCGACCTGCATGGATCAGAACTCCCCGGAAGATGATGACCTGCTGATAATTCTGGACGGTGAAGACGATCTTGCAGAGGATGTTTGCGAGAAGACGACAGAGGTTGTGACGGAGATTATTGAAGAGGTCATCGTCCCTAACAGTGAAGAGGATCTTCTTCCGGAGGATGTGGTGGCGTTGGATTTTGCGGAGCCTGTGCCGGAGACGGTGAACCCAAATCTGCTAAAAGGACGCGGAGACACTGACATCATCCTATTCGGAGAAGTCCTCGGCTGGAAGAGTTCCTAAAACTAATGATACTTAAATGGGAAACAAGGATGTGGGATGTCGACACAGATTAGGGGAGTTCCTTCTATACCCTATCTTCATTTATGGTTTAATTCGTACTTTGTGTCTTATGTGTGAATTTTGGGGGAAGCAATGATGAAAAATGGTTTTATTGATGTTTAATGTGATGCATGTGGCTTGTACATGGTTGTTTGGTCTGATGAATGGTAGTTATGCATACTGTGATGAAAGTATCCCTACTGGTCCTTTATGCATACTGTGATGAAAGTTTCCCTTGTGTGTACTGGTTCTATATGCATATTGTCATGCAAGTATCCATACTGTGATGAAAATCTCCCTTGTGTGTACTGGTTCTTTATGCGTACCGTGATGAAAGTATGAGGTCTGTGTATTGGTTCTTTATGTGTGGTATGCTATGATGAAAGCATTAGGCCCGTGATATGGTAGTCTATGCATGTTATGATGACCATATGAAAGTGTTTTGGTAGTTTATGCATACTGTGATAATCATGACTCTGTGATATGGTAGTTTATGCATACTGTGATGACCATATGCCTATGATATGGTACTTCACTCATATTGTGATTACCATATGCATGTGATATGGTACTTTACTCAATCTGTGATGAGCATATGCCTGTCATTTGGTACTTTACTCAATCTGTGATGAGCATATGCGTGTGATATGGTACTTTACTCAATCTGTGATGAGCATAAAGAATGTGTTCCAGTTTTTGTGTGTGGAGTGTATGTTGTAATAGTAGTTGTACATAAGGTGTCAGTATGATTGTATTGTACTAAAATGATGAAACAAGTATGACCATTGGTAGTTTGAGTATGTTTGTACTATTACAAAAGGTCTGAGTATGCTTCTACTTGTACAAAAGGTCTGAGTATGCTTCTACTAGTACAAAAGGTCTGAGCATGTTTGTACTACTTCTAAATGTCTGACTATTCTTGAAGTAGTACAAAGGGGCTGCCTATTCTTATATCCTTAACAATTAAGGCCTGTACAAAAAACAAAAAATTTAAGGCTTATACTGTTCAACCCAATATCCCAAAACATAAACTAAATACCCAAAACACTGCAGTACTTGTACTTCATCACTGAAGATGATGATGATCATCATCATCTTTAATTATGAAGTTCC